CCCAGGTGCTCTCAGGTTCAGTTTATACCTAGCAAGGGTGGGCTTCGGGGGACCACGCAGAGAGCTCGATGCGTGTTTCCGGCAGGAAGCCTGCCTCACGCCAGTGCTGAGAAGTAGAAGTAGTTGGGGTGGGGGTGAGCACCAGGGACGCCGAGGGGACTACAGGAGTTTTGCAGGAAGGGGGACCCTTTGCTTCCTGCAAAGCCGGGCTCTTGTCTAATACTCGGAAATGAATTGTCCAAGAAGACACTTGTGCTGAAAAAGCAAGAGATTTTATTGGGAAAGGGAACCCAGGAGAACTGCTCTGCCATGTGGCTCGCAGTCTTGGGTTTTATGCTGATGGGATTAGTTTCCGGGTGGTCTTTGACCAGTCATTCTAATTCAGAGTCTTTCCTGGTGGCGCACGCATCGCTCAGCCAAGATGGATGCTAGCGAGAGGGATTCTAGGAAGTGGACGGACAGGCAGTGTCTCCTTTTGACCTTTCCCAAACTCTTCCAGTTGGTGGTGGCTCATTAGTTACATATTCCTTATCAGGATCTCCTGTCATAAAACAACTCATGCAAATGATTACTATGGTGCCTGGCTAGGGTGGGCGGTTTCAATCAGTGTGCTTCCCCTAACAGGAGGAGTCCATGCGCAGCAGGCCATCAGCAGCCAGGGCCAAGGTGGGGACGGGCAGATGACGGCAGGCCCAGCAGTGAGGGCTGGCTTTGCACTGCAGTGGGGAGGGGGCAGCAGGGAGGACCGCGGAGGCCAGAGGGCACGGCCAACTGGAGGGGTGGGCGAACATCACATCGTGGAGTACGTGAGGGGGCTTGGGCTTCTTGTAAAATTCTTCTCCCTCAGTCGGATGTTTGAGATACCCAGACTAGGTTATTCCGATTGAGTGATGCATTTTGAGTTAGAGAACTAGTTAAGTGACTTCAGGGAGGGTCTAGGAATCTTCACCTTTTTGTGCGTTATCTGGGACTTGAAGAGGGATCCACAGCTTTCACCAGTTTTTCAAAGGCTGTGTGACCCACACGAGGTGAAGATCCACTGTTCTAGAGGTTTCTCACAGACACTGTTCACGTCTGCCCGCTCACTGTGGCTCACGAGCTCTAGACCAGGGCTGTGGATGGGCAGGGCTGGTCCACGATGCCGTGGAAACTCCTTTTATCCACCTGGCCCTCGGCCCTTTACCCTAGGGTTTCAGACAGACACCCTGGGCTCCACAGGCTCCGGCTCCAGGTCCCAGGATTACATCACTTCCCTGTCTTCTCAGCTACGTTCTCACACCCTTCTCTGATTACTGCCCACTATTCTGTGCAGCTACTGTGGACACTGATCATATCATTGCTGGAGTTTCTATTTCACAGTGACTGTGCCTTTTCCCCAGGCCTGGGGTTCACTCTCCTCAGAAGCAGCTTGTTTAGTATTAATATATTCAGCTGGAGTCTGCCCTGCTGGACCTTTGTCTGTGTTCTCTGCCCAAGTCTGATGACTTCTGTCTTTGTAGGTCTCCTGGCTGGTCTTTCCTTGAGCCCCGGGTACATGACGGCTTTCTCTCTTCTTAGTGTGCAATGAGTATTGGATTTTCAAAATGAAACGTGAGCTCCTCTATTTTGATGCATTTTTGTTCATGCTAAAGTGTCCCTTTTTAGTTTCAAGTTGAAATTTCTGTTGACTGAACTTCACAAACCCCAGTGTCTGATCTTGGACATTCTCCTTGCCCATCTTCATCCTCGGGCACACGCGTTTGTGCTGCGTGAATACTGAATACAGGGCTTATTTCTACAGTCAGTGCATGGGACACAGACTGGATTGAGTTTTTGTTTTCATTGATGATTATTAAACTTTTTATTATGGATATTTTCAACCCTATTCAGATTTAGAAGGAATAGCATGACAGTGTGGTTATCAGCATTCTGCCGTTCTGTTTCTTCTACCACCCCCCCACCTGTACCTTTTTGTCAGTATTTTAATTTAAATTATAAAAATGCTACATGCTTATGGTTTTAACTCAGAAGGTGGAGAATAAAATCTCCCTGTACCCAAACCTATTTTCTGGAGGTAACCACTGATGTTTCTTATGTGTCCTTCCCAAAGCATTTCTGTGAAAATTCAGGATTGTGGGTGTCTATATAATCTTCCACACAAATAGAATTATACATTTCGTACCATAATGCAGTTTGGGTGTTTCCTAGGTTAGCATACAAAGAGCTGCCTCATTTTAAGAAAACAACTCAGTGGCGTTCCATCCTACGAGGGAATCCTCATATTCTTAACAGTGATTGATAGGTAGACGGAGGGGTGGATGAATAGGTAGACAGACAGATGACATGGTTATCCCCTCAGCCGAATTTTCTATGATATTTGTTAAAATGTCATGTTACTGGGTGGTACACATGTAACTTCAACTGATTCAGGAGTCACTAAAGTGACCTCTCAAGTGTCTGTACCAGCTTATATCCCCTTTGGTGCTGTTGAGATTCCATTATTTAGCTTTGCCATCATTAGTATTGTTAGATGTCTTAATCTTTGCCAGTTTGGTGCATCCAAAATGAGATCTTGTTACTAGTATTGACATGTCCCTGATCAAGCATCTTTTCAGATGTTCAGTGTCCTTTCTATAAATTGCCTGTTTGTTTTTCTATAACCAAACACCTTTCCAAGTTTTTCAGATTTGGGTTTTTTTTTTTAATAGTAACATGTCAGCTGCTTCCCTGGATACTCTAGGCATATGATCGTCACATTCAAGTAATGGAAACTTTGTCCTCTGCTTCCCACCTCCTCTTATCTTACTCAGAGCCCATCTCCCCGCTGTGGGCGGAGCACTTCCAGAATAGTGTTAGATGGTGATGACGGCTCAGCACCATGCCTTTCGTGACCATAGTGGGTGGACCTGTTGCTGCTGTATTGCTCAGCATGATCCAGGCTTTCAGTGAGGATACAGCCTACTTTCTGTCATGCTAAGGAAATGTTTTTATACTCAAGTTTCTATCAGGAACGATTGTTATCAAATGCCTTCCTGTCACAAAGATAAGCTTTTTTTTCCTTTTAACCTTTGACCTATTATTATGGTTTATAATGTTGAATCTTTGCAGTAGGGATAGAAATATTGTGCATTTTTAGCTGGTTGCTTTGCGAGAGGACTGAGTGCCTTTAACACAAAAGAGCATACTCCTTCCCTAAGCAGACGCAGTTGTGGGACATTCTGTAATGAAAGACTTGTAAGCTGAGTAGGAGAATTGGAGGCAAAAAGAAACTGCATTTGCTCCTCATGGGTTAACAGGAGTCCTCGGTTTTCCTTGGGCTGCTTGATGAGTGCTGGCACAGGCGAAGGGGCTGCTCTTCCTGCCGTGGTACCTAAGCCCCGCAGTCTCTTCCACAGAGCAGGCAGACTCATCCTTTTTAAAAAGTCAGTTCTCTGTTCAGAAGGTCCAGTGACTTCCACTGAACAGAGTAAACCCGAAGTCCTTTCAGTGCCTCTGTGGTGCGCGTGACAGGCCCCTTGCTGGCTGGCTTCCTTGTGCTCACTCCACTTTGCCCACACTGACCTCCTGGCGCCTCTCTCACTCTCCAGATGTGTTCTTGACTCTGGGCCTTTGCACTGATATTCCTCCAAGCTGGAAAGCCCTTCTGACTGTTCAGAGCTCAGTCTACTTAATGTCACCTCCTTGGAGAGGTCTCTCCAGTTACTTTATGTTAAATTACAACTGACGTCCTTCTGTGTCCCTGTAGCCTGCTGATTTTTCTTCACAGCAGTTATGTGTGTTGGTTTATTTATCTCTTTATCCCACTAAAGAACGTCCCAGGAGGTTTGTCAGTTGCATTTCACTGGTGCCATGTTTTTCTGTAATGTACTATAAAGGGCAGCCAAGCAGGCTTAGTCAGCAGAGTGCCATAGCGCTTAGAGGCACAGAAAAGCACTCCTCGTGGCAGATTTAAGTGAGCAGCAAGATGGACATCCTAAGAAAGCACTGGCCGCCTCTCCTGCATGCACTGGCTCACCTGCTTCTGCCCAGGGCTTGGGGTGAGGGGCCTGTCTCAGGCAGCTCTCCCCACCACTCAGAAGCTGCTGCTCAGCGAGACAGCAGTGAAGGATGTGTTCTTAACTGTGACCCCCCCCCCCCCCCCCCCAGCCCTGGACACACACATGCGCCAGGGCCCCAGGCTGGGCCGGCGCGTCGGCCCGCGCCCACCCCTGTGTCCCAGCACTTCCAATGGCTCTGGGCACAGCTGGGGAGGCAGTGACTGCAGAACCATCACGGCAGAGCCCGCAGCGGCTTGTCCTAGTAGCTTTCGTGGTGTTCCCACCTTCAGTCGCGGCCATGCTGGTCTTGTGACCGCTGAGTGAAGTATATCCTGTGGGAATGTTTGATAGCTGAGGAAGGAGGTACGACTGGCCCAGGATCACAGAGCCGGGAACAGTGGCACTGGGAGCGCACTTGGATCTCCTGGCTCTGGATAAACTACCACACTGGGTCCCTGCCGTCAGCGTCGCGTTCCCGGCCTCTGTGGTGAAGCCAGCTGTCCTGTGGAGCCGTCCTATCTGGCTACATCCCTAGTGGTCAGTGCTGCCCACTCTGTGTCCCAGGGGCTTCATGTGTCCCCCCTGAAAGCAGCCGCTTGTACGTTTGGCCCTTTGGGAGTGCTTTTGACATCCTCAGGTGTTTGAGGATGTGTAGCCCTGTGGAACAGTTGCGATGGACTGATGAGAGCTCTGCCCACACTCAGGAGTTAGTCATCTATTTGGAGGCTTCATCTGAACAATGAAGTTGAACTGGATGGTGTCAGGGGCCCTTCTGTTCTGATTTTCTGAGATGGTGTTCTTGAAGTTTCAAAGCCACCGTATTAACCGGTCACCATTTCCCAGGACCCACCCCTTAGGGCCCTTGCCCCCTAGGGGCATCTGTCTGTCCCTGGTCCCCGCCTGGACTCAGACCCGGACTGGCTCTGGCGCCCTCTGGGACGGCTGAGTCCCACTCTGTTCCTAACTGCTGTGTTTGATTCCTAGATTTCGCAGCTAATAACAAGCGAGAGAAGCGAGGCTGCCCAGAGTTCTCTATCGTTATGGGAGGTGGGCAGAGCGCTTTCCGGAAGAGTCTCCTCAGCACAGACTGTGCCTGCCCTGCTTGGAAGAGGGGCCGAGTGTCTGCAGCCCCAGGCCACAGCCCCGGCCAGCTGCGACTGATGCTGCTGAAGTGTTTTCACAGCTGCTGCTTTCTGTTTCTAGTTTTCATGCAGAGGAGGTGAAAGGGTAGCTACTGACAAGTAGGAGAATGCTATTTTTTAAGGCAATTGCTTGTTTTTTCAAATAGAATTAGTCCCTGGCTTTTCTCCAGTCCCAGCCCCCTTCCTGCTGCTCGCGTCCCTGGGTGAATACAAATAGGGATTGCTTTGTGTATCTTGTAGGGCTCTCAGTTTTGAAAAGAGAGAATTATGTTACAGATGTTTTTGTTGTACATAAATAAAACACTTCCTTGTCTTTGCAAGATCCAGTGTAAATTCTGTTGAGTTCAGCTAAACTTATGAAGTCAGTAGATAGGGCAGAGGGACAGCTATTCACTGAGACCAGTTGGATAAGCGAGAGTGGGAGCTGGGTTCGTTTTCTGGAGCCACAGCAGTTCTTTTTGACCTAAGGGTAAATGCTTGGGCATTGGCATTGGGGTTCCCTTGAAATCTGCTCCCTTCTGTGGGGAGCTGTTTCAAGACAATAAATTGGAAACCTGGGAGCCAGCCAGTCCTCCTGCACTGTTGTGGACTGCGTGTCTTGCAGAAATGTGTGTGTGTTGAGTTGTTACAAAGCCAGCCTCCCCGTGGTGTCTTGGACAGTGTGGTGCTGGGTGGTGACAGCTGCCCCCGAGGGCCCGCCCGGGGCCCTCACAGCATCACTGCCGCTCATTCTTGGTACAAGCCTGGGAGGTGAGCAGTGGCCCTGCCCTGACCAGGAAGGAACAGACTGGCCTCGAGGGACTGTGACAGTGCCCCAGGGCTCTCCTGAGTCAGGGCCACCTCTCCTCATCATGGGGCAGCGGGGCTGGTTTGGACGGACTTCCGGCTCCCAAAGGGCTTGGCTATCCCCACCCAGCCCCAGTGCTCAGTCCTCCTCTGAGAGCCTTGCTCTCCCCATCCGCCAACTTACTGTCTCATTCAGAGCCATGGCCTCAGCCCAGGGAGGAAGGTCTGGGCCTGGGTCACGCGGTGGGGGCCGAGCTGGAGTGCTCCTAACTCCGAGGGCGGCCCGTCCTGCGAGATGCTCAGGGACCTCTCCCCGCTCCCCATGCCCACAGGCTGGTTGCTGTCTTCTGAACAGGGTCTGGGGGCTTTTCGCTAGAGACAAGGCCCGAAGCCCTGGCTGACTTTTGCTGAGCAAACCAGGCGATAGGTGGCGACATAACCCGCTCTATGCTTCCCGGCGAGCCCCGCGGCCGCAGAAACCACTGCCCGCCTGCCTGGGCTGCGGCAGGTGCCCTGGCCTGGGTCGGGTGGTGACCTTTGGGACAACTCTCTGCTTCACCCAGCCCAGCCGTTCAGAGAGGCTGGTCTGTGCTGGGCGTTGCCTCAGCTCCTGGCCCCCTGCCCTCCAAGAGGAAAAGGTGTCGAGTGTGGTTAGTCCTCAGCCAAGAGGGAGAGGCAGAGAGGCTCTGCAGGCCGGTGAGTTGGGACCTGGGCGCCTGGGGAACCTGCTCCAGGCAGCCGGGAGCACAGCAGGGGCTGCAGCCTGGAGGGGACCTGCGTGCCCATCTGGGAAAAGACGCCTTTGCATTTATGTCATGTGGGCAGACCGATGGCATGGGTCCAGCAGAGTGTGTGTGGGTTGGCTGAGAAATGAGACCCTCCTGAGGGCCTTGGGAGCCCGGCAGGCCGCTCCCCAGGTGACCAGCACCCCAGACACCTGTTCTCTTCCAGGCTGGGCTCTTGGCTCCTTCTCTCCTGACCTTGTTAGAAGCTTCCCTTGATCTCTCTGATCGCTTTGGTCAGCCCAGTCATGATGAATGACCTAATAATGATGAGTAGTCATACTTAATCCAGAGCATCAGTTAAGCAGAAACACGCACGCGTGCGTGTGTATGTACCCATACACTTGTGTTTGTGGCCTAGGAGGAAAACATTCTAGAAAGAGAAATGCCAGCAGATAGATAATAATGCAATATGATATAGTGTACTAAGCCAAAAATGTTTTTTCTGTCTTACAAAAGTGGTTTTCTTCACAACCCTGCAGACTAAAAGTGCAGCTGCCTGTGGGGAAGGACCTGAGTCAGATCTCCACATCCCCCCTCAGCCCCCTTTACCAGCCCCTCCCAGCGGCTAACCCTCACTGATGCTCAGAAGAGGAAGGAACACCCTTCTAGGGAGAACGGTCAGACCCAGAAAATTCACCAACCAAAAGGGGAATCAACTTGGGTGGGAGTGGGGGGGCTCCACGGCTGCTCTTTGAGAAATGTCAGGAAACAAGAACTGTACCAGGAGACAGGCTCCAGACAGATGCCCAGTTTGGAAAAGGTGGATTCCAGACAAAGGGTCACAGACCCCAAAAAGAGCCCCACACTTATCCTCCTGGTGACACGGTGTCTGTGCGGTGACTGTGATGGGTGCTCACGGGATGCCTGTGCAGCCAGAATCCAAGTTCCCAGCGTGGGACCTGAGCTGGTTTCTGAGACCCTCTGGAGGAGAGCTGTGAGATGGATAAGTGGGTGGAGATGCGCCAGAGTCATTGTCAGCTGGAGGAGGCTTGCCTGACTCCTACTGCTTCAGGGGCTTGTGCTGGAGGGACTGTGTGACTCCCGAGATCCTTGGCACAAGGATGTGAAAGTCGTGTTCCTCAGACTGCTCCCCCTACCCTGGGCCTGAGCCAGACCCTCAGGGCTGCTGCCCACCCACCTCCCGCTCAGCCTTATCCCCTGGCTGAGGGGTGTGCCTCCTGAGTGTCCCTTGTATCAGTCCCTGATGCTCCGAGTCTCTACCCTGCCTGGGTCAGAGGTCACAGCTTCTCACCTCGCTCACTGGACACCCTTCCGCCTGGCCCCCAGTCCTAGTCTCCAGCCCTCCTCCACCTGCTCTCCCTGTCCTGCTCCAGCTTAAATGCTTCGGTAGCTCCCAGGAGCCTTTGAGATAAAGTTCAAACTCCCTAATTTAGCACTGGAGGCCTAGCCTGCCTCCAGCCACTCCCTGCCAGGCACCCTGCCTTCTGGCCAGGCTGAGCCACCTGCGGTTCCTAAGTGTTCACGGCGATCCACACCTTGTGGCCCCCTGTGTATGGCTGTCAGATCAGACCGCATTTCGACTCCTCTTCCAAAGCTGAAGACAGCATCCTGAGTGGAAGCCGCCAAAGCTCACAAAGAGGCGGGGTGCGTGCCCCCAGCAAATGGTCTCTCTGCCCAACAATCACGGGAAATGGGTCATTCAGCGTAAGAGTAAACTTCTCTGCCCCCCATCTGGTAAATAAAAATCTCAAACCTTCCTCTTTTCTTGGTATTAAATTACTTCTCATATTTTAGAAAATCATTTTAATTTCTTTATACAAGAACCACAAGACAGTCATAAATACATGCATAAACCTGGAGCAAGAGAGGAAAAAAAAGGCTACCTCCTCCAGGCAGCCTTCCCTGACCACCTGGATGGACATGGCTGCCTCCAAGATGCCCAAACCCCTGGTTCCCAACACCCCACAGTAACCAGCTGGTCTGACCTGACTTCCCCAAGGTTCTGAATTTCCAGGGCAGGGAAGGGAGGTCACCTGACTGTGGTCCTGCATTCCCCAGCACAGAGAAACAAGATCCTCAGTTTGTCAAAGAAATGAATGGAGCTCACTTAGGACCTGTGTTCACACACCTCATGAAATCCTTAGGGACAAGTCAGAAAGTTAATGCATGACAGGTCTGCCTGGGCTGGCTGTATTGAAGAATCTGGCTCAAGGACCCTTGATGGGAAAAAAAAAAAATAAACCCAGGTCAGACAAAAAGACTGGACTCAGCATGAGCCATGGGGGGGTGGGCGGTGACTGCTAAAGAGGGCAGGGCAAGCACAGGTGAGGGGCACGGGACCCTGGGAACCCTGGCAGGTCTGCAGACTGCAGATTTAGAGATGGTTACCCACCCAGAGGAGGGCCGAGGGCACACAGACGCCTTCACAACAGGGCTGCGTTCCTCCGAGGTGGCTGCGAAAGCCAGTAACGATGGCATCTTCAGTGTCAGCAGAGCCCTAGGCGCCGACAGCAGACAGCAGCTAGTTGGCTGGAAATGCAGTGAGGGTTTCCCACTTGGTTGTGAATAGTTGTTGGAAAATGTGCGGTTGACAGGGAGAACTAAAGGCCATGACACTGTCAGCCCCTCTTCTCCTGGCCTGACCAGGTTCAGTCATCCCCACCCCAGAGATGGAGTGACTCCCCAGCCCAAGGGTCACCCCCAGGGCACCCTCGACCCTGTGCCCCTCTGCTAGGGCAGGCACTCCCCGCCCCCCAGCTTCTCCCGAACCCCAGCCAGGCCCACTTGCCCCACCCTGCTCGGCCATGCTTGGAGTATAAGGCAGACTCCCAGGTGGGCTGACCCCTGCCTGGCCACAGCCGATAGCTGCCCGCCATCAATAGCACAGTGTCCCCGGCGCACAAAGAGCCTTACTCAGGCTCCGTGGCGTGGCCGTGAAAATCACCGAGGTGCAGTTCCAACCTCAGAATTACTCAGCAGCCCTTTCCTGCGTCACTGGTTCCTTTTGGGATTCCATGAGGGGGCCCTTCCTAACCTTGCGCTCAATTCTCAGGCCCCCTCTTGCCGTCCATGCACCCCCTTCTCCTCTCTCCAGGCCCAGTCACCTGGTCTCTTCCTCCACGGAGCCAATAAACGTCACTGGGCATGAAATAAGGCCCCCCTTTCCCCTCACCCCTACTTCTGTATCTTTGCCCACCTCACCTCCTCCCCAGGGTCTTCAGGGCAGGAGCTGGGGGTGGGGGAAGTGCCCACCCCTTGCCCCTCTCTGTGCCATTGATCCTGGCCCCAGTGGTTCATCAACCATCCTCTGTCTGTGAAACACAGGCTTCTCTCTTTCTGCCTCCAGACACGGCCCAGCCTCTCCTTCCTAATAAAAGACTTCTTCAGTCCTGCCTCCTCCCCTGAGCCATAGCCAGACCCCTTTTATTTTATTCTATTTATTTAATTCTTGAAAAATGTAATGCATTCCTATGACATTTGATGTACAAATACAGTCCCTCCCATCCTTGCCCTCTTCCCACTCCTGATCCCTTTACTGTTGGCAGTTTCCTCGTTATTCTTCCAGGAGAGTTAACTTTTACGAGAATATCTTCATGTAATTCTTCCTCCTTTAAACAAATGAGACATAATTCACATACCATGAATCTCTCTTTTATATAATTAAGTGGGGTTTTTTTAAAGCATGTTCACAAGTTGTACAACCATCACCCTAATTCAAGAGTATTTTGATCACCCCAGAAAGAAATGCCATGCTCATCGGCCGTCACAACCCACTCTCTCCTCCGAGA